GCATCATGGTGAAATCATGCGCTGGTCAAAATACAGAAATCGGAGAAACAAGCATTTAAAAACAATATTTAAAAAAATTTTTTGACAGTTTGGAAATTTTTAATGAATTTTTGTGTTGTTTTTTTTTGGCTCAACACCATTTATGTCCATATAAAAACACATTTCCATGTGAATTTTACTGAAAATGTTCGATTAATGGCAAAAAATATGTAAGTTGTAAGTCTTCTCTTTTCAATGACTCTCAAGCCATTCAAATTACCAAACGTTGGCTTCCATTTTCTGTCTAATTTTATCTCTATAATCATGCTACCCCCACCTCCTTCAATTTCAAATATTTCCACTTCTATTCAAGATAGATACCTGGGTTTTTTTTTAATAAATAGCTAGGCAAATGAACAAGCTTTAAGAAGATACCAATTACTCCACATGTCCAAAAATTGACGAGCGCCTGATTCTGCCATGTCGCGACACATATCTTTCTTTAGAGCATGAGAGAAGCGCCGACACTGTTGAATGTTTACAAAATGTGAGGCAGCGTGGTGGAATCAGGCTCTCGTCAATTTTTGGGCATGTAGAGTTAATGGTATCATCTTGAAGCTTTGTTCACTTGTGTTTATTTGGATGAAAAAATAAATAATTGATCTTGAATACAAGTCAAGATATTTGCGAATGAAGGAGGTGGGGGTCACCTGCTTTTTATAGGTAAAATTGGTGAGAAAATGGCCGCCAAAGATTAGTTATTTCATTAGCTTAAGAGTCCGTGGTAACTGAAATTAACATTTTTGAGCCTTTAATTAATGTTTTTCAGAAAAATCCACACAGAAATGAGTTCTTTAATGGGCATGAAAGGTGGTGAGCCAAAAAAAAAAAAATTTGATAAAAATTCACAAACTTGCGGAAAAATGCAGAAAGTTTCTTCCCTTTGATTATTTTGACGAGAGCCTGATTCCACCACGCCGCCTCCCTATGTTTTTGTTGGATATTTCAACCTCCTCCCGAGATAATACCACGTTTCTGTGACAGAAAGACAGCCCCAGTCAGCCAGTCGTGTCGTGTACCTACCTTCACCTTTCTCATCTCATCCCTCCTCCTCCACCCCCTCCTTCTCTTCCTCTTCCTCCTCCTCCTCCTCCCCCTCCTTCTCCTCATCCTCCTCCTTCTCCTCCTCCCAGAACGTTCGTCTTTCAGGGAATATCTATAGGAAGCCACCATGAAGGTTAGAAAAGTAACGTGTATGAGAAGCCACCGTGAAGGTTTAAAAAGAGGCTGCATGGTGAAATCAGGCGCTCGTCAAAATAATGAAAGTGAAGAAACTGGCATTTTTCCTCAGATTTTGGAAATTTTTACCCACTTTTTGTTTTTTGGCTCAACACGTTTCGCGCCTTTTAAGAACACATTTCTGAGTGAATGTTACTGAAAGACGTTGGTTAAAGGCATAGAAGATGTATATTTTAGATTTCCACGAACTATAAAGCTTGGAAATAACTCAATTTTAGCGTCCATTTTCTTGATAATTTTACCTCTGAAACCAGGCCACCCCTACCTCCTTATCGCCAATATATTGACTTGTATCCAAGATAAATGGATATATATGTATCCAAGATAAATGGATATTATTTTCATCGAAAGCAAGGCCGATGGACAGGCTTTAAGAGGATACCCATAACTCCATATGCCCAAAAATTGACGAGAGGCTGATTCCAGCACGTCCTGACACTAAATTTATTTTAATGGTAAGGTCTATGGGAAGCCACACGCAAATCTCTCGCATGGGGGCACAACAATACGGAGTCCAAAGGGGGCACTCGGAAGGTAGAAGAGGGGTGGGGGGGAGAAAGAAGGGGTCTTTTGGGGGATCCTTTGGCGCGCTGGGGGTGGTATCCTTTGCCTGTTGCAGACGACAACAACACTTGAGATCGCGCCCGGCAGCAGAGTCTATTTCCGCGCAACATGACATCACTTGGTGTCTCCGTGGATGCTCGTTTGGTGCCCAGCAGTTCTCTGTGGTGCCCAGGGATCACGCTATTGTGACCCGGCCAGGGATCACGCTATTGTGACCTGGCCAGGGATCACGCTATTGTGACCTGGCCAGGGATCACGCTATTGTGACCTGGTTTGATGTTGTGTCCGGTGCTTTAGAGTTACAAAGTTCTATCTGTCATTTTTGGGTTGGCCATTCTTCTTCTTCTCTCTCTCTCTCTCTCTCTCTCTCTCTTTCTCTCTCTCTCTCT